GGGCTCCGCGGGCAGGCCTCAAACTCGCGGCCGGTGCTGCCGGGCTGGCCACGCCTCGCACTCGATAAACATCCACCACCATATAGACATAAATATATATCACATTTACGTGTGTGTGTGTGTTTGTGTTTAAAACAGAAAGCTTTTTTTTCCCTTCTCCCCCAACACCTAGCCGAGTGCAGTGAGAGTTAAAGAGGACAACCGCACGTAGTTACATTTTGTTTATTTTAATCCGTCTGGCTTGCACCGCGTATTTTACTCGTCTTTCCCTCCGGCCATAAGGGGTCACAGCAGCTGCTGTTTGATTTTATAAACAATGCGTGATGTTTGTTTTCTTTAAGCTTTGCAACAATACAATCCAGTTCGTTTTCCAGGCGTGTTTTGCTACTGAAGTCTGGTTCCACTGTGTGATTGTAGCAGCAAACTGCCTTCGTGCCTTTAACTTCAGAAATGCGAATTTTAGAATTTAGTCTACCTGTGACAATCTAATCTCAAAGATCTTTGGGCAGTCCAGAGATACCTGCGGGGGGCACTGAGGACACAACAGGTGACAGTCCTGTCCAAGGGGAATTTGAGCCTTTTAAAATAATTTAATGAGACAAACTGGGTTTCACAGCAGCGATGATTTCCAAGGGTTTCATTCATGCAATGTTTCAGTTGCTGCTGCTGCACCTGCAGCAGGTGAAGTTGGCCGGGTGCAGCTGTCAAAGCCCAGCTGCCTGTCCTGGCCCAGCAGGTGCCACTGCAGAAGTGCTGCAGTCTCCCCAGCCAGCTGCACAGCTGCATCTATCCCCACCACATCGCTGATTTAGTGCGATTACCACTCAGACTTGTGTGCATGTCACTCTGCTCACCGAGCACTCTGCATTTTCTGAACGATAACTAGCAGAAATGAAGAAATTAGCCATGCAGACTCAAGGTATAATGGGGAACTTCAAAAACATAAGAAATGCTGTTCAGCCCAGTGATCTGGCACAGGCAGGTCTTGCTCTGTGTTATGGAAATCCTGCCTCACGCCATGGATGCTATATATGATTATTTTACATGAGTGTTCTGCAGTGATACTGCTAGGGGTTTCATTAGCTCGCTCCCTTTTAAAACCAGCTTTATAAGAGCAGGTTTTTATCATTGAAGATGTTTACCACTTAAATTTATCTTATATTTGTGTGCGAGCTCAGTTTCTGAGATTTGCCTTAGGACATGCTAAGTGTGTTTTGCTAGTTGAAAGAAAATTAGGGATGTTGATAGACAAAAAATCACCCTGAATGGCTTCTCTACAGGAACTCTTGAAGTTTTAGCAAGAGTTTGTTTTGACAGCCAAGTTGGTGCTTTCACTAAATCAGTAGTTTGTTTGCTTAAAAATAGACTCCCAGAGTTGCAGTTCTGCATGAATCCTCCTTTTCTGTAAACCAATATATTGTGCATTGTGGATGACTGACGTGTGCATGCAAACAGAAGGGCTACTTCCTTTACTTAGAATAGGTTAGACAACTGTAGAAGAAGAAAATCTTATTTATTAGTGTGATATGGGCACAAAAATAGGAAGGGATCACTAGGGATTATTGGAGAAGTAATTATCAAGTTCATACTGTGGGAAATAGAAGGTACCAGGAGATGGTTGTATTCCCTTGAGATGTGGAAATGCTGCAGAACTGTGCAGGGGGTGGTGTTTGAGGCCAGTGAGATCCTGCACTACCCAGCTAACACTGGGTACCAGGTGTTGGCCAGTCTGGTTGGTTTTTTTACTTACTTTCTGCATGGTTCTGGGTTAGTGGAGTATCACTGCCTTGTAACCACATGAAACTGCTGCAGAGCTCAATGTCTCAAGTCTTGTCAAGTGTTGTATGAGCAGTTAGAATGTAATTAATACCTTTTGTACAAAATGGGATTATTTCATTGTTTTCCCTAGTACATAAAAAGAACATTAAGGACATTATGCTGTTGTTGTCTTTACATGTTTGCTGTTTATGGACAGGAGAAAATCTGAAATAACCTCAGAACATTTAGTAAATGCACAAATAGGGATGTGAAATATATGGGAGTTTACTGTTGATGTGCACGAATGGTGGTTTCTGAATTCCATGCTGCTGAATTGTTGTATTCCTTCTTGCTGTTCAGGCAATGGGCAGCCTGTAAGCGTGATTATTTTTCAAGATGATTAAGGATATGAATAACATACAATATCCTTAAGAACACTAATAAAAATATGTCATGTAGGATATTATCGTGGGAATATCTCTGTGGATAATTTATTGGGTGGACTCTGGGACCAGACACTCTTGTGCATCACTGTGGAAGTCTAGTTATAAACTAGTTATAAACTTGCAGCAACTCACAGGCTTAAAAAAAATGTGTTGAGCACATAATCTTTGTAACCTTGTGCTAATAAGCAATAATTCTGCTCAAATTTTTCAGAGTTCAAAATTGTTGAAGGCAATGCTGTGTTCATTATTAGCTGGAGGTTCAATATTTGCATGTGTTTCAGACTGCATGAGTCCTGTGCTCAATTGATTATTTATATTGTAATAATTATATTTCTTATTTATATATATATATTTGTTATGCTTTTGTTAGTGTGAGCTCTTTGTGGTGAATTTTCTTTAGTTCCTTTGAACTGCTGATTCTCTGTAGCAGTGGAGCAGAAAGAGTTGGGATTGGAAGTTGAAAACAGAAGTGAGTTCATTCAGAAGAAAAAACTCATTCCATGTACATGGAACCATAAGTCGTGTTTAGGTTGATTTCAGAAATATAACTGATAGAGAGGTTTTGTTGGTTCTTAAAGGAATGGCAAGAGTGTTGTGCTGTGATTATAATCTCAGGAGAGGAGGAGATGCTTCTGCTGAGGCTGCTTTCTCTGATTGCCACCAGGACACTTGGAATGTGGACAAGTTTCCCATGAGGTGACTTGTTCACAGAGAATTTTTTGTTTTGCTGGGAAAATTGCAACCTGGACAGGGAGGAAGAAGAAATAGTGAGTACCCCCAAAGCGAGCAGTCTGTGTCAGGCAAAACCCCCTGTGCATTGTTAAAGGCAGCATTTGTTGTGTTTTGGGCCATCTGCAGTGTTACACGTGAAAAAGCCCAGATGATTTTTATAGACTTGGATAAATTGCTGCTCTAGTGAATACTGTAGGTAGGAGGGGAGCAGATCTTGGGATTTCTCTGAAGCTGCAATGGGTCTTGTGTGCTCTTACTCAAAGTCTGGTGTGGGCATTGGAAGGAGCAGCTTCATGGTTGTGATCTGGTGAATCTGATAGGAAATCATGTATCCTGTCATGGCTTTCAGTGAAAGTCAAATAAATGGGGCTCACCTGAATCACTGGAATTTAATAATAATATGACTTACCATGTGGCCCTGAAAAAGCTGTTTTGGAGGGTTGCAGCATCATATTGGGCTGTGTGTAATACATATGTGCTCCTTGCAAAATCCTTTGTGGCTGGAGTGAATAACTTTTTGATGAGTAAATAAAATACAATCTCAGATTATGCATTTTCCATTTTTCCTCACCCAGGTACATATGCCCATTATTAAAGGGGAGGTGAGGATATACAGGTAAATGTTTGTCACTGTTGTGGAGGGTTGGTTTTGGTGACAGCAAATTCTGGGAACTTCCTGACTGGAATAACTTCTGTATGGCAGCAGTTCTTATTATTAACAGCATGAGAAACTCTCATATTCAGTAATATTTTTAAGGGATATTTGTGTACTGTGGCTGCTGTGATTTGGGTCAGCTACTAAATGTGTTTTTATTCCCCAACTTTCAAAATCTGCCTCGCAGCTCTAATATTCTTAGTGTCATTTGGTGTAACTCAGCTGGTCCCAGTGCATCTGCATGAATTTATATGAGGTAACGATGTGGCCCAGTAAGAGAATGGAATCAGGCAGCTTTGAACTTGTTAAAATCTAAATTTCATCTAAATTAATCTAGATTCACCCTCACAGGAGGAGATAACACTTTAATCCTGTGCTAGGATTTGGTTTATTTCTGCTTTTTGCAGAAATGTTCCCTCAAGGGTGAGTGCCTCATAGTGTGCACGTATCAGTGTCTTGTTCTCCAGTTTACTAATTTAACAGCTCATGAATCAGACTTTCCTGCTCAGCACTCCATTCTGCTGCTGATAATTAATCAGATATGGGTCTAATTACTGACTTTCAGCAGAGCTTAACTGTGGTCATCCGTAACATCATCTGTTATTGACACTTTGTAGGAATACAGGCACCATAAAAAGGACTTGCAGGAATTACCTAATAAAAATCATAATACTTTGTCCATCATTACCCTTTTTTCTGTAGCTTGAGTGTGGCCTCCCTGTCTGAAGGTGACTGCCCTTTTCTGCACTGCCACACGGTGTCCCTGTTGTTGGAAGCTTCCCAAAATGCAGGCTGCCATTTCTGGGAATGCACTGCTTGCCCAGGGCTGCTGGTCCATAGGCCCAGAGTGGAGCACACAGACTCTGTGTTTAAACTTTCCCCAGTGTTTGATTCCTCAAGAGAGCTTGGCTGAAAAATCAGTTAACTCTCTTTTTTTCCTGTTACTTTGAGTGGTGTTCTAGTGATTTAAAACCCCTTAGGTAATTAATACCAGCTGAGATAGCAAATGAATCCAAAAGTTTTGTTTCAAATACTAAAAGTTGCTCTAGACCTTTTGAAGAGTGCACTATATTTGGGGATAGTAAAAATAAAAACACTGATTTCTTTATATATATCTATATGGGGTGTTTGTGAGTTTATGGATGTATACTACCTTGTGAAATGCTTTTTCATTACATTTTTATTTATTGTTAGTACAGTCTTGGTTTGTTGTGAGTTTTTTGTTTTTCTTTTGTTTTGTTTTTGTTGGTTTGATTTTTGAGTTTCTGTTATCACTACTATCCAGTTATTAAAAATCACAGGTTGAAGTCTTTCCCTGGAGTTTCCAGGGTGTAAATGAGTAAGAGCTGCAATGAAACCGTCCAACACCTTTGTTTCAGGTGAGAAATAGAGTAGTCTGTAGAATTAAAAGCAAAGCAAAAGAAATCATTCAGCTGAGATGGCAAATAAAGGACAGCTATGGAAATAAAAAGTGCACTTGATCAGAGCAGGAGGGAGGAGGGAGGGACACAGGAGAGCCCTGAGCCAGCACTGAGAGAGCTCCATTCAGATGCTGGTGTTTTGCTCAGTTTCAGGGCAGAAACACCTTCCTCCCTGCAATGGAGATGCATTTACACAATTGCTGATCCTGAACAGAAGAACATTTTTTGTTTTTTTCCAGATAAAGAAGCTGTACATTTTATACAGTTTCCACGTGTGAATTTTTGTGTCTGCACAGGGACAGTAAGCCAGAGGAGGGAGTAGGGTGCAGGGTGCAGTGAAAGGAGCTTCCTCCAGCTGCTCCCGTCACAGACCATAAAACTGTTGCTAACTTTCAGTGGTTCTACAGCCAGCAAGTCTTTTCTCCCCTGTTTGTCTCCCCTAGTGTGATGGAAGGGATGAGAAATGAGGAAAGTAGAATAAAAACATTATAAAACAGTGATTGTATTCAGTACTAGATGCTGGAGATACAGATAGCACTTAATGCTTCAGAGGATTTTCTTGGTAAAAAGGTTCAAATGTCAAAGTTTGAAAAGTGACAATATTATTGACAAATGACAGTATTTGCTGCTTGTTGCACTGAGTGCTATTCCGTGGTACAGTCCCACTCTTCAGGTTGTAAATCCTCCATAAATGAACCGATCATGTTGGCAGCTATAAAACATCGACTTGACATGGATTTAACCATGATTATTAAATTTTAATAAGTCAGAGAAAGTGGGGGGAAAAAAGGGACTGTAAGAACTGGGAACAATAAGAGGTGGGGTCTGAGCTACAGGTACAGTGCAGATGGAGAATGAGATTTGGCTGATCAGAACACACAATCTGTGCTGGGTTTGGACTGAGTTCTGAAGTTTGGGATGCAGGTGTCTCCTGGAGGATACCTGTTCCATTTGATGGGGAGAGCTCTAGGCCAGGAGGGAGATGTGGTGTTTATATGATACACAGGTGTGAGCAATGTAGAGATTGCAAATTCTAGGAAAATACTTTGGGTTTGCAGACATGGATGTGGGACACAATTGTTTTTATCGTGCCAGTTGTAGTCCAGATTAGTTTTTAAAAGAATTATGCAAGTAAATAGCTCCAAGCACAGTGGATTTAAACTGATTTTTGGTATATTTTTAGTGGATGACTGACAGGTTAACCAAAGTACACAAGGGTTGTCTGTAAACACCCCTGCAAGGCTCCTCACAGCATATCTCCTTACCCATTCCCCCTGTTCACAGCTTTTTTAATGCCCTAGGGATTTCCTCTTCCCTACTGCTCCCTCTTGTTGCTGCACTGTGCATCGCTCTGCAGCCCAGCAGAGGAACCACACAGACCAGTGCTGATAATCTGGCTGCAAGTGTTTGCCAGCTGGCTGACCCCCAGTGCTGCCTGCCCAGCTCCAAGAAGTCATACCTTAGCACTGGGTGTTGCATGTGAAGTTTTGTCACGTGTTGTAAAGGTTCACTGTAAGAAGTTCTTTAAAAAAAAATAAAATCTGATTTTGTACCAGGCTTGTGGGTTCCAGCATTATCAATGGTCACAAAGATAAGGAGACACCTTTCCCTTTAATAAAAGCAGGTTAAAAATTAAAAAGTAAAACAATTGTCAGGTTTTAATAATAAGACAGTAAATTTCTAGAAGTATGTTCTAGCCGTGTCTGTGGGGATGCAGAATGTGTTGGTGTTCTCCTAATTAATATCCAGCTGTGTTCCTGAGCAGGCAGGTGCTGAGTGCTGGGACAGGACTGATCTCTGGACACTGCACTGGTGCTCTGGGAACATCTAGTTCTGGAAACAGCTCCTTTTAGTTCAGGAACCAAGGGCAGACTGCTCTTTCTCAGGTTTGTCTTTTGTTTTAATGTCTTTTTTCTTCAGGGAAGAGGTGTCATGTTTTGCTGTCAGGATGAGGAGCAGGATCCCTGTCATCCTCCTGGCCTGTGGCTCCTTCAACCCCACCACCAACATGCACATGCGTCTGTTTGAGCTGGCCAGAGACCACCTGCACCAGACAGGTCAGTGAGGGCTGGGAAAAGCAAGAAAGAGTTTCAGTACTCACTTGGATCTACTTTACAGCTGGGTTTATTTTAATATTCTTTACTGATGTTAATGTAAAGCTTTCATGGGATATTCAATATAGAAAGTCTGGCATTACCTCAATGTATAAACAAGTACAATAAGTGTTTATGCAAAGAGAGTAAAAGTTTTATCAGCAGTTTGAGGATCCTTTTCGTGGCACTGGCTGAACCTTGTGAAATAATGCAGTTAAAAATTTTGGAACTTAGGAAAATCATTTATGTTCCAATTCCATGCTTTTATGATACAATGATAAGATGTGTTTTAATATGAAAAGTTCCAGGTAGCAGTTTTGACAGCTGGGGGAAACTAGAGAAAAGATGAAACATTAATTATTCATTATCTGTCTTCACTAAGAGGCACTTTATCTGTCCTAGAAAAAGATGAGAAAAGCGGGATGCCACCAGGCTAGAATGTTTTGGCAACAAAAGAGCAAGGTGGTAACATCAAGAACGAAAGAAAGAATCAGGAATGCTACTGGAAAACCTTGAACTCTAAGCTTGAGCAGCTCCTTACTTGCTCAGGGATTCTTTTTTTTGTTTTTTGCAACTGGCTCCTAAAATATGCACTTAGGTTTCAGGAAGGGTTTAGGAGGGAATCATTATTTGTTGGAATATGACAGAGCAGTTCCTAGAGAGGTGGGTCAGTAGGAACCTGAACAGCAAATAATAGTAAAACGAATTTGGCTGTCAAATTGAGCAGGGGGAGAGAACCTGGGAAACCACTGATAGCACTGTGCAGTCAAAGCAGCAGCTGCAGCTGCATACTCAGAATATCCTGTGAGGATACTTTGACTGTCTTGAGGAACAATTACAGAGCTGGCTCTCAGAGCAGCCTTTACAAATCTGTTTTCCTACAACTAAATTTTTTTTTTTTTTTTGCTCCTGCGGGACTGGAAATAAAGGGTTAAAAAGAGATTTTAATTTACTTTTTTCACTGTAGTTTTATAACTGATTCTGCTGCCCAGATATGCAAAGAGTAGAAAGGTAATATGAGACCTACTGGTAATTCTCTTCAAATCATAAATTACAGTCCAGTAACATTTCTCTTTGCCATTAAAGAAGGACTGAACTGGGAAATTAATTATTATTCTGTCTGAATCAATTTGATGTCTGGTCTGCTCCAGGGTCAGTTTAGAAAGACTCTACCCCCTACTCAAGGCAGTTTGCTTAAAATGTAGTAAAAATCATATTAAAAATGAAATTTTGAAAGGCTGAAATGGAAATTGTGCATTATATTACACCTGATGTCAATGCCTAGGTCTGGGTAGGGTGTGACTTGCGTTTTGGTTTCTTACTTTAATTTGTGAAACCTTACAAGTCCAAGGGCTTTCTGCATTAAAGAATCCTTCTTTGGTGTCTGGCTTGCCTACAGCATTGTCTATGCACTTTCTGAAAGCTTAACCCAGCTTGGCAGCAAAGTCAGAACGCTGTTTGCCTGCAGCAGCTTTCCCCATCCTGGGCAGAGGTGGCTGTAGGAACTCCAGGAGCAGATGGATGTGTTTGTATGTGCAGCTACAGATCCCGTCTATGGCCCCTCCTCAACAGGGAACAGAGTTTCTCAAGCAGAAGGGCTTGGCAGCTTGCTGTAAAAATGACTGATTCTAGATGTCTGTTTTATAGCAGAACCATTCCTAGACAGAACATTAATTGGACATTCTCTCATGATTTTAGCCCTGTTTCCACTTTTGGGATTATGCAGGGAAGGAAAGGAGAAATTTTCTGGAGCTTACTTACTGAGAAGCAGCAGCAGCTGCAGCCTGGGAGCTGGTGGAGGGTGGAGAACAGGGCCTGTCTGAGCTGAGGCAGCACTGATTCCCTTCTCAGAGGGAACAGTGCACCTTGGAGCTGACATCCGCACTGGATGCCTGAAATAAGTGAGGAATTAATTAATTAGTGTGAGGGACATGTTTCCTAGGCTTGGGAATGGTTTCATCCTCCTGCTGCTTCAGTAGTGCTGCTCTGTCACAAATCAGGCTGAAATGATGAGCTGGGCCAGTCACCAACCCTGGAAGTGCTCACAGGACATGTGGATGGGGCACTTGGGGCCATGTTCTAGTGCTGGGTTACTGGTTGGACTCAGTAGTCTTTAGGGCTTTTCCAGCCTTAACAATTCCAGGATTCTGTGACTTCAGAGGCAGGTTTCACAGCCATGAATGACATGACTATCCCTGATGTGCATCCTGACTGACATCTCCAGTAATTCTGCCTGCCAGCTTTTTGTCAGTTTCTAATGCTGCCTAATCTTATTTTTCATACATCCCTATTTTAAGTAAGACATTTTATTGGGTTTCTGATAGTTTAAGTGCAGTTTCATTGCCACATGTCAAGTAATTAATCTTTTTTTCTATTAATATCAGCCAATAAATCTTGTCATGCTGCCTTTTAAATACAACGCACACAGCTCTGTGTGCCTGAATGACTCAAATCATTCTATCTGGAATTTCTGTCTACTCATTTGAATTTGACACTTTACACATCCTCAGACACAGCTAAAGTTTTCTGAGATTCAGTCCCTTGTTTTAAAATTGTTTTTTGAAACTTGACTGTGGCAGATGCCTTTGGAGTATTTTAATACCTAATGTCAGGCACTTTTACTTCTCTGTGACTGTATTCCTGGTTTTACTATAAAGACCAAAGAAATAGTGCTAGAATCAATCTGAGATACTTTTAATCTTGTTTCCCAAGTGTTGCCAGTGGAGGACACTTACATCCCCAAGTTTCCAGGTGAGACCCAAAGGGATGGAGGGCAAAGGAGGAGGGTGTGAAAGACAAGATGCTTTATATGTGGTAAGACAAATGTGAGAGGAGGGTGAAGGATAATGAGTTATTATCTTATAAAAACTTGGGAAAATGTGACACCATTAGTGGGTTCAGTCAAATGCATTCCTATTCACTGAGTAGGGTAACACCAGGAAGCTGCAGAGCTTCTCTTGGGGGATTTTCCCTTAACACTGAAAAAGGAAAATGAGAGGAAAATGAGCAGTGAGCAAGAGTTAAATATAAGGAAGTCTTTCATTTATTTGCTTTTCTGTAGTGGTTATTTACTTTTATTATTTATTTCATATTTCTGGCATAATTTCTCCCATTGAATTCCAGACTTACTACCAGAAGAAATGAATCTTCAGAAGCCCCACCAAAGTACACAAACAATTTTGTATGAAATTGGCATTTGATTAATTTGCTTTAGTATTATTAAGCATTACTATTTGTGTTAGTATTTGTGACAATTTACAGTGACACCTTGGTAACAGAAAACTGTAATCTGCTTTAACATGTTTGAGGGACAGTTTTTGTTTCATTACTTTTGTTACATTTAGTTTTCTGAGCACTAGCCAGTTCTCCTAAACAGTTCTTAGAGACTAAAAGTTCATAGCAAGAGGAACTTCTTTGCTGCTTTTGGTAGTTATATTTTGAAAAACAAAGCCACTTGAAGGCCTGGAGGACTTTTACACGTATTTAGGACAAGCAATAATAACATACTACATGATGCAAACAAATAGAATTCCAAAGAAATAGAATTTGAAGATAACTGTGGAGCAAGAAAGGTTTGAAGCAACCTGTAGTAGTTTATGTGAGAGAGAAGAGAATTGCAGTGGATATTAAGAAAAGCCCAAGGTGACAGAATTTAATGATTTTCTCTTCCTTTCCACCTGGCAAAACTGAGGGGCATATTTGGACAAGTGAACTTTTAAATTACAGAATAGGAAAAAAGTTCTTTAGAGCCAGCAATAAAACTATTTCCTATATTTTGACAGCTAAAGCCTGTGTTTGTATGTGGAAGGCTCTCATGCATCCTGTTTGCACAGTGCTGGGCTACTCCATTGTCAGTCTTCTCAGGCCATTCCTGTGTTTGACTCTCTAAAGTGTTACCAGTCTTAATTTTTCTCCACCAGTTGGTTTCATTTCTGCTTTGCAACAAGCTGATATAGCACCAGAAGCTCTTATCTCATCCCATTTGTGCAGCTCTAGAGCAGACTGGAGACTGAAATCTTTCCATCTCGCAAGGATGTGGCAGACCCATATCATTCTTGCTTAGCATGAGCTCACAGAAATATGATTTTTTCATTTCATATATTTATTTAAGGTAAAAAGGAACAACCTTTTTCTGTAGATGCTTAAAGAAACTGAAACGTGGAAAATAAAATCATCGTGTAGGAAAAACCTTTTAATACATTTAACATAGTAGTGAATTCAGCAGTTTCCTTCCCTTTAAACAAGAAATGAATTTAAACTGTAATTTCTTTCCCTTTAAATGACAACTTGTTATAGCACTGTATAATACCAGAGTACAAGAGAATAATTGCTCTTCATAAATCAAGCAGAATTATTTCCAATTTCAAATCAAGAGATTGACTTAATTATATACACATCTTTGCATGATTCTGGAAAACTTCATCATTCTCATTTTGCCTGTAATGAGAGTATTTCAAAACAGAGCATGGTTTGAACTGACATCTTAAGAGGATGTAAATCTCACTGAATCTTAATGCTGGTTTTTTAAGTCAAATTTGATGAAGTTCTTCTGAAAATTTTATTACATCAAAATAAATGTGACATTGCAAGAGTGACATTGTCATGTTAGAATATTAAATTGTCATGTGCCAGTATCAGAAATGTCAGGGGTATTGCTTTCCTTACAAAGCAATAAAGGTGGCATGCTGCACTGAAGTTTCTTTGTTAAAATAATTGAATTAGAAAAAAGGAACAGGTTTATTTTCCTCTTCAGTGTCATATTTATCATAGTTATTTAAAATGCCTGTGTTACATAAGAAATAATTCTGTTCATTTTTGCTCAGTTGAAACACTCTTCCTCTCCTCTCAGTTTCCCAAGGAATGCAGCTGATGGTGGTGCTTTATTTTTGTTTCCTTTTTGGGGGCCAGAACTGCAAAATCTAACCAGTCTGTTGTTTTAATGATTATGTTGTGTTACAGGGGTAAAAAACCAGGGTTATATTGTCAAATATATTTAACATGGTCAGCCAGAGAGAAAGGTGTTGAGTGGCTGTTGAGCTGATGTGTGGAGCACAGTGCTCCAAGTCTCATTTTAGATTTCATTAGCCCCATCTTTGTGCTTGAATCTTCTGATTTGTCTGAACCACATCAATCACAGCTGCAGCAATATGCTGTAATTCTTGCTTTAAACACAAAGGGCGGCAAATAACGATGATCAGATCTTTAAGAATAAAAGAGGGGTAGTTAAGTCATTCTTTGCTCTGGCTATATCAAAGCTGTACTATGCTGGACTATGAAACTTAATTCTGTCTAACAGTTTTGACAGTTTGCAACATCAATTGTTGCAATTGACTGTGTCCACATGGTTTAAAATTGTCTGTTTACCCAGCTTGCTTTTTTGGGTCATTTATTAGGATAAGCATGATGGTAATTGTGAGCAGTTCACAGAGGGACAAAATGCTTGCATTTTAATTTTGTCATTGCTGGGAATGGATTAAAAACAAAACCTAAATCAAGTCATTCATAGCTTCTTAAAATGTGGAAGTTAACCAGTAAGCTCCCAAGGCCCTATCCACCCTAAATTTTAAGATTCTGTAAAGAGGACTTAATTTTCATTTTTTTCTGTTCTTTTTTTCTTGCAGGAAGATATCAGGTGATTGAAGGCATAATGTCTCCTGTCAGTGATCAGTATGGGAAGAAAGGCTTGGTGTCAGCAAGGCACAGGGTGGCAATGGCCAGACTGGCCCTGGAGACGTCTGACTGGATCCGGGTGGATCCCTGGGAGAGCGAGCAGGACACGTGGACAGAGACAGTGAAAGTATTAAGGTGATTGCATTATCTTCTTCCTGTCTTTATGAGATTACTGACTGCCAAAAATCTGCCAGGCTGCCATGTCAATGCACAGAACTTGCTCCTCTTTTAAAACATCCAGGCAAAGTCAGGACTCCCCACCAGGAATCTTTTGTTTGTTTTTCCCAGACCTGTGCAATAACCACAGTAGTGCCCTTGTGCCCTTCAAGTAGTTGGGTGCAAAATGTTGGCCACTGCTGGGATATGCAGGAAAAGTTCCTGCCTCTCATGTTACCTTTCTTGGGTGTCAGTAAGAGAGTTCAAAATGATTCTGTTCTTCAAGAGTATCTCTGTTCCAGGTTAGCTATGGTACAGTATTATGCCTCCAGGTTTAGCTGTTTACACATGCTTGTAAAGTTTTCTTGTTAACTCTAACAGTAAATTAAGCCCAAGCCCATAACTGCTGATGTTTTCTTCAAAATCTCAAGAATTTGCTGTGGTTTTATGCTGAGGAAAAATTAAACAAGTTGTCCATAACTTGATGCAAGGACCTTGAAATATGTCTTTTCTATATAGTAATAAATGCATATGGGGCAGGGTGTGAAAACACAAACTTCTTGTGCTAACTGGTCCTTGGAAAAGGTGCTGCAGAAGGTAACAGATACCATTAAACTGAAAGCCTTCGTTGAAGTCTGCAGCAAATGTGCTGCAAGAGCTGCCACTGATTCTTGATTTTTATCCCTGCTTTCTATGTTACTTTCTAAGTGGACACAGGTGTTCAAGGCTCTAAATTGTGCCCTCCAACAGCTGCCCCAAAAGCTCTTGTGGCTCTGTGTGAAAGCAGTTGTAAAACCAGACCTGTTACTTTACAAAAGCATCCATAAGAATTCACTACAAACTTACAATACAAATAGAACATTTGAGATCTGCTTTCATGTCTTCCCTGAGGGAACACAGACATCCAGTTGCTCCTTTTGCCCCTTCCCTCCAGGCAGCAGAGCAGGATCAGGGTGGGAGGTTTTCTGCCTTTGCAGAAAACTATTCTTTCTCTAATCATAACTGTATGTCCCAGAGTGAGAAGTCACCAAGTACTGTCCTACAGTATTGCCTGGGTATGGGGCTTTTGTCCTAAACTTCAGTTCAGTCAAATCATTTTCCTCTAGAAAAGTACTCCCAAATCCTACATATCCTACTTTGGTCTTGCACAGCTCCAACTGAAGTGAGCACTGCTTGCATGGGTTTGTGAATTATAAATCCACTTCAGAGTTATTTATTATTAGAGGTCCAGTAAGTAAAACCTTTGTGTATAATCTTCTGCTCAGGCAGTGTGGTATAACAGCCAAACTTCCCATCTGCCTAGAAAGTGAACCTCTAGCTTTATTAGTAAATCCACAAAATATTAAAATGGCTGCTTGTTAAGGAGAGAAATGAGCTTAAATCTTGTTTTGTCCACAAATGTTGATGTGTATTAATGAGCTGAAGTGGTGCCATAATCCAGTGCTGAACCTTGTCCCTTGCATGGAGAAGCAGCATTCTGATGAAATGCAGGTGTTTGTGCTTTACACTGTATTTAAGTGTCACAGGTGAAAAAAAAAAAGATTAAAGAAGTGCTGGCTTTAGAAGATATTTAGTAAGTTTGAACAGGCAATGGTTTAGGGTAGAGTGGTTGTTCTTCACATGCTTTCAAAGCTAATCTATAGGTTCTTCACTCCTCAAAAAGCCAAGGACTGACTAACTGCTGCCTTCACTATAAGCTCCCTCAGGTAGGAAGTGTCAATACCAATAGAAAGAGACTTTACTATTGCAAGGCAGAGGAAATCATTACTCTGCCTAAATGTCTCTTCTTATCAGTAGTTGGAGTTGCACACTTACCTACAGTAGAACATTTAGTCCTGAAACACATGAATGGCCTTTTCCTACAGTACTTGTTTTAACTGAGTGCGATAAAAATGACACATTTCATCAAAACCTGTGCATTTTGCTGAGGATCCTAAGTAGTTGTGACATAAAAGAATTTTAAGCAGCAAAACTCAGATCCCACTTATAGCAGTGGTATTTATTAAATGAGTATAGAAATCTTGGAGAATATCCCAGTGCTTTTCTTAGAGAGGAGGAGGAGGGAACATAATAGAGCTGTTTTCCACTTTGCTGTTCGTGAGTATTCCTAGACAAGGAAACAGTATTGTCAGTAGGCAAAGGACTGCATTTGTTGCTCCTGTGGATTTGATTGGCATGCAGCTATACTACAGAGTAATTAAAAATTGGCAAAGATCTGCATTACCCAACTTCTGTTGAGTTGTGCTTGTGATTTAGCTCTGTAGTTACTCAAAGCTTCATACACAGTTCAGAAAACACTTAAGAAGCTGGCAGATGGGTTTGTTCTTTTAGCTGTATCTAAAGTAATGCAACTCCACTTGCTCCAGCCCTTGAACTGCTGGTTAGACCTGGGGCAGCTCAGTTTTTGCAGTGTTTGTAACGCTGGTCCTGCAGGGAGCTCTTTGCCAAGCATTCTTGTTTTTGAATCCCGGCCCAAGAATGTCAGAGCACGACACACAGTCAGTGTGCCTGGCTATACATAGCAGCAGCCTGTTTACAGCAAGGCAGGGTTAAAATTAGACATGTGGGAAGGCACAGACCAAGCTCCTGGTGCCCACTCTCTGCTGCCATATGTGCCTCACCTCTTGGCTGTGCAGTTTCTATGGCCAGTGACTGAGCATCAGAAATCGCTGGAGGCTGCTGTGCAGCCTGGCTGGGTGAAGGTTCTTGACACATATGCAGCTAATTCTTGTGGCTAAAGTGTTTCCATGTTTTGAAGAGTGCACTTTTAAATCACTAACCTGTGAATTTATTCCTTACAGACATTCTGAGGATCAGCTGGGGCTTTGTACACACACTGGGTTCCTTGGAACTCTGAACCCTCTGTGTTGTTGCAGTCAATAAGAGCTGATGGTCACTGTGGCTCTTTATGTCCTACACAGAAATTGGACACAGCCTTGATTCTGTGTCTGCTTGTCCTGCCTGACCAGGAGCTTGTATCTTTGAAACAGTGTTGGCTTGTGCAAATATGAGCAATACTTAGGCCTGGCTCAGGATGGTGCAAGGCAGGGACTGTTCTAAACAAGCAAGGCTGTGCTGGTTTGGAAAGAAAAGGCCACTGCCATGAGGTTGCAATACCAGTGTTGCAGGGGGGCACCAGGGATCAGTGAAATCAGGGAGTGGTGAAAGGATAAAGTAGCAGAAACCTGGAAAAACCTGCAAAGGGATCCTTGCCTGCCTTCCTGTATCTGAACTCAGTAAAACTAGAAGCACAGCAGATGTCAAAAATCTTAGGAGAATTTTTAGATCCTTGGAATTGTGCTTCTTTTAATTAAAATGAACGAGAAAACAGCAAGGTGAAAACTCAGGGAACGTATTTTTATGGAGAACAGGGACCGAGAACATCTCCTCCTCAAAACAGAGCACACATTATAACACTACCATGAGGGGTTGCATTTAGTCAAGAAATTACAGCTAGTGATTGAAGTGAGATTTAGTCCTGTTTCAAGCAAAATATGCTTTTGTAGTAGCTATCAGAATTGCCATAATGGTAGAACTTCAAAAAGGATTTACAAACCACAATGCCATTAAGGAGATTGCTTGTGAATTCCACAAAATGTAACTACATTGGTACTAATCTCATGGCAGAACAAATGTGCCAAATTCTAACAAATGGTATTCAAATCCAAGGAGCATAAAAGTAGACCCCCTGCTGGAATGGGAAAGTGCCAGGTAATCGCTTTGTTGCATCTCTGAGAGGATTTACCTCACACAGAAGCCTTTATTTTAAATGCAGGCACCATTATAACGAAGCACTCAGAGCGTTCCAGTCCAAGAAGGAGTTCATGAGAAACAAACATCCCACAGAAAGCTCTACAGTGGATTCCTTTCCTTGCCAGCAACCAGGTTGGTTCATGGCTGCAAACACGATGCTGTGTTTAGCATTAAAAACTGTACAGCTTTACCAGATTAGTTGTGAGAAAGTTGAATATAGTAGCTGGTGAGTTTTGAGGGTTGCAGCTGCGTGCCAAAACCAAGCCATGCCAAATGCCAACAAAGCTGCTGGGGCAGTTGTTTTGTTATAGCTCCCACACAGAGAGGAGACCCTGGAGTTGTGTTAATTCTTGGTTTTACAGGCATCTCTGTCAGATGGACATTGTGGCCCACCAGAGATGGGCATTGTGCAAAGCACAGAATACATGAATAAAAAATATGGAAAATACAGGGATTACTGGAATTCTACTAGGAGTGTTAGACAATGGACAGAGTGTGTAGGTACCACAGCAGTGATGCTGCCATGTTGATGTTTGCTGGCCAGAAAAGCTCCTGTTGGCAGTAGAGGCACGGCAGGCTCTGGAAACAATGCCAGTTTTCACTTTCCTATCTAATCATCTTCCCTAGCCCTATGGCTTGCCAGGATGCTGCTGGATTTTTGATACATTGCTTTTTTCCTCTAGTGTTGTAGCATCTCTTGGACATGAATAATACATTTCAGTTGTTCCTGGTTGTTGAGGAGTTGTATCTTTACAGCTGGTGGAGGAAAGAAGTCACGCTTTTCAAACATCATCACTGGAATGTTTCTTACATTCTGAATCTATCCTGTAAGGTGTTTGTAGGAGACTTGCAGATGTAATCTATCCTGTAAGGTGTTTGTAGGAGACTTGCAGATGTGCTAACCATCAAATAAGTGTAAAGTGAAGGCAAACCTCTATCCTTCCCCTTCATTTCACATGAATACAAAGGCTATGAAACTATCTGGTCAATGTTTGTACAGCGCTCAAGGTAGAATAATGATGAGTGCTGTGGAAGAAGTTTGAGAGTTCTGTGCTGGGGCTTAGGCAGGGAACAGCAAATAAGAAATAGGGACTATAAAGAACAGCAGGGCAGGATTGTGTGGAGTAGCCAGGTTCAACCAAGTCTAACCTTTGTGCTAAAGTATTTCTCTTTACTTACTTCTTCCCCTTTTTGGATTGCTTGAGTGGAGTAAAAATTATTCTCTGTGATAATATTCAATATACTTTGAGGGATGATGAAGCAGGTGTTAAAGTAATTGTGACCAGACACATAAAAACCTAAACTGAATTTTTCTTGCAATCTTCTGAAAAAAAGAGTAAAGGTAACCTAAACTGAATTTTTCTTGCAATCTTCTGAAAAAAAGAGTAAAGGTAAATTATTCTAAAAATAAATTTTAAAAAAATAATTAAAGTGATGAGTTAAAACCAATTTTAAGTATAAAGTTCCTAGAAGACTGAGAAAGGATAAGATATCTGTTATTTCCTTTTGTCTTTCCAGTTCTACCAGAACTAAAGCTGCTCTGTGGGGCTGATTTTCTACAGACATTTAAGACACCCAATCTCTGGAAGGAAGAAGACATCAAAGAAATAGTGGAAAAGTTTGGTTTGGTCTGCGTTAGCCGGGCTGGCTCTGATCCATCTCAGTTCATACAGGAATTGGACCTTTTATCTAAATTTCAGCACAATATTTTTCTGGTGAGAGAGTGGATCCAGAATGAAATCAGTGCCACACAGATCCGCTCTGCCCTGTGCAGAGGGCTGAGTGTGAAATATCTCATCCCAGACTCTGTCATTGCCTACATTGCACAGCACAACGTCTACACGGCCGAGAGCGAGCGCAGGAACGAGGGGCACCTGCTGCAGCCCTGCAGGCTGCAAAACACAGCAATAAAGCCTCTGAGGGACTGATTTCTGCACTGTGTGCCGTGTCAGACCAGGAGCTTTCTCATGCAGATTTCTTGAGAAAGTTGTTTCTTAATAATGATGAAAGTCCAAAATTTCTTGGAATCATGTGGTGATTTAAAGCCATGAATCTGTGTGGTAGTGCTCAAGAAAATTGGGATGCTCATCTGTACAGCTTAAAATACACAACAACTTCCTTGTGAAAATGAAAGAAAGGAGATCTTCACCATGAATATTCTTAGTATTTTAATAAGTCAATAAATATGACTTAAGGGTCAAATACAGTACTTTTCTAATTTGTAATTCTGCAATCCTTACTGTTATAAAACAGCAAAATACAATGAACCATATCTTGAGAGAGAGATATGTGTAAATATATATTACTTCTAAAATTTGACTTTATAAGACCCTGAATAACTTTTTGGATTTTTTGGCAATTTGACCAAGATATGGAAATCAATCTTTCTTTCATGCAAGCACTTAAAAATGCTACTACTTCAGCTGCTTCTAAGGCTCCAGGTTCTCAAATGACAGTCCTCATCCTGACATTCAAAGTGGGTTTCTTTTCTTCTCTGATCCAGAGTCTTAAGAGCAAGCAATTGTCAAAGCCCCAGAGTAGATAAAATAACCAATAGGGGCTTCAGTTGTACCATATGCAAACATCTGAGAGGCTCAGTACCTGAGCTCTGATGTTAGCAGGGAAAACCCATCTCCTCTCTGCTGTTATGCTGATTGAGTGTCTCTCATTTCTGACAGGAGTCACTTTCAGAGAATACAGAACTCTATAAAGTGCTCTCTCTGTGTTTCAGAGCTCCTTAACTGAAAGCATTTGTGCAGCAGTGATGTAGCATTTATCACTGTACAGAGTAACCACTGTTTCCTAATATAAGTTTCCACCAAACTGGTCCTTCTGAGCCCCCAGCTGGCCAAGCAGCTTCCACTGGTGGTTCTCTGATTCAGAAGCTTGTGGAACAAGTCAAAGGAATACCAGACAAAAATGGCTTTGACTGAAAGGGTCTGTATGATTTTTTCTTGAAAGAAAGCATAAAGTAGCTGAAATCTATTCAAGAAAGAAGAATTGGTCTCAAAAAACACACAAGATAAGCACTTTTATAGCTTTGGCTAATATCCTAAAGCTGTTTGAAAGGGGTTTTCTTCTGAGTGGCATGAAGAATGAAGAATAATACAGTTAAAATGGATTTCCCTTACACAAGTGATATGAAAGGTGAATATTTCATTCATTTTAAATCAAGTCATCCTGCTGTCATTAGAAATCTCACAGGTTCAGCCTTGTGGAAGGATCTAAAGGCAGCACTTCAACAATAATCGGATTAGAAGGACTTGCATAGCCCCATGGTCTAAAAAAGAGATAAAAGAAACCAGAGTTCAAACTTGCCACAAAGCAAGGCAGTGAGTTGTGTGGTGCATAATCAACCACAGCTCTGAGCCTGTGATTTTGACAATCACCTGAAGCAGGGATGCCTGCAGATTTCAATGGCTATTGGAAAATGGTCAGCAATGACAATTTTGAGGAGTATCTGAAAGCACTGGGTAAGGTTCCCTTCAAACTTCTTGAATGAATAATCAATAAATGCCACCTGTCTTATTCTTTACATGAATCTGTTTTTTCTTGTACAGTCATAAGTCATTTTTATGAGAAGTATTTTTTTCAGAAATGCACTTTAAGAATTTCCTTAAGCAAAATTGACTTGCCTTAAGCAGCCTCTACTTTTTACCATCTTAAAGCTTACATTAACAGACATTAAACTACATAGCTTGAAGAGGTAAGTGGTGGATTCCAAACATAAAAAAACTCCTATAATTTGAAAAGCAGTAAAATTTTTATATTTAATAAAGATACAATGCAGTTCTTAATGCAATTTTGTGTGTTTGTATTTGATGTTGTGTTCATATCCATATAGAAGTATTGTAAACCTTATTAACTGTCAAATACAAATGGTATATTTTAAAGATTCCACATAATCAGAAAATTGAAGCATTAAGTTATTTAAGTTTTAAGAATTAGGTTACAGATTTTTTTCTGGATGGGAAGTCTAGTTTGAAAGATTTGGACATCTGTTTATCTTTGTTCATTTCAGTTCTCCCTAGGAGCGACAAGGGGAAGACTTTTCTCGATAAAAATAACTCCTTTCTTTTTCAGATGTAAATGTTGCTGTAAGAAAAATAGCAAACCTGCTGAAGCCTGACAAAGAAATCCTTCAGAACGGGGATCATATGATCATTAAAACGCTAAGCACTTTTAGAAACTACATCATGGAATTTGATATAGGGAAGGAGTTTGAGGAGGATTTATCTGGGGTGGACGATCGCAAGTGCATGGTAAGAAGTAGAGCTGTAACAATGGACAAAAAGGAATATTGACAACCTGAGGCCTTTCACAGAACACAAGTTTTAACCATCCTGGTGGCTATTCCTGAAATCATTTCTGTACTTCTCAGTTTGCCACAATGTACCTACAGTTGTGAGCGTGCCTTTGGATTAGAGGAATGCTAATTTTCATCAGGAGCACAAAGCAGTTTTATCAATCAGTGAATAATAACCTCAGTGAAGCTATGCTCATTTGTAGTGGGATGTTTTTTAGTCAAAAAGACATCTAGGGTCACTTCCAGAACCTCTTTAATGAGTAAGGTTTCACACTGGAGGAAATGCACTGATTGCAAGGTCAGGCACTGCTCCTGTGTGAGAATAGCCAAGTGCTTAAAGATTGCCTGGGTGTATTTATTAGAGCACACACTTAATTAGCCCACTGGAACAAATCTTACTGAAATGAATAAGCAAACACTGAGGACTTTGTTTTGCAATAGCTCTGTTTTATGAGCACTTTTTGCTCATTGTTTTAACTTAGGACTGATAAATACCAGTTTACAGGGGAAAAACTTGAGAATAGCAAGTTCTCATCTATTAGTTTGACAGCTTGACACTGGCAATATTCTACAGTGAGGAAGTTGACAAATAAAATTATCTCAGGAGGGACTCTAGATAAAGAATCTCATGAAAGAGAATTAATAGGTTTCCATTCTGAGAAAGATAGTGCTATTTTAAATAGAAATATTTTTCTCTCACACTAAGATTTGCAAATTTGCTTTTGCCCTGATCATTGCAGGAAAGGGAAAAAATTGGAGGACCAGGGAGAAAGAATGGTCACTTACTGAGTGTCTCAGCAAATCCCTCTGTAGTCATTGTTACAGAGGGTACAAGTTTAATGAGAGTGCAGAATACACCACGGACAGAAGGGAGGAGCATTTGTGTTTAGGAAAGTGCCCCAGTGGCACTGTGTGATTTGGGCTGCTGGAATGCTCTCAGTCAGGATATTGAGGTCCAGATTCACTGAACAGTTATGAGCCCAAGGAAAGATTTAAGACTAAGATGATTAAACTACCATCAAAGATAGCAATGTTGAAAACATCTGCTACAAAGGTGTGTGTGTGCACAGAACTGTCCCTGTGTAAGCATTATCTGTACTTGAATATCATTAAACTCCCATTTGAAGGAGAACTAAACCATCCTCTGCATGGTGGAAAGAAGTAATATTTTATTATTTTTAACAAGCCAAAATTCTCTACCGTGTTTTGCTAAATTGAGTGATAAGGGAAGGATTCAAAATGTTCAAAACCAGAAAGAAGAAACTAGAGAGAGATAATTTCAGTCACTGCAACAGCTGATTGATTTGGAGTAGAACCTAGTTCAGCCTACTTTCAAAAGGTTACTCAGACATTCCTCTGTCTACTGTTTAGTGGGAAATGCTCCTTCAACCTTGGAAGCAGAAGTTATCAGCACCTTCCTGCCTGTTACAAACAAACAAACACCCCTAATAGCAGTCACTGACTCTGACTGGGCTTTTCTAAGGACGGAGGGATGTAATTCCACAAGACCTCCCCAGAGATCTCCATGTCTCTTTGTGGTCTCCAGCTGTAGCTGGACAGTTCAGGTCACTGGTACTCCATTTGCCTTTCATCACACTTTATAGTTCAATTTTCTTATTAAAGATTTCTTTTCTACATGAGACCTCTGTTTTGTCAACAGCAAGACAGTACAAGAAGCTGTCTTTCTGAAGTGACTTCAGTCCTAAGCTTATAACCATAATGCCAGGCAAAATTTGTAGTTAAGCAGCAAAATGACTCCAACAGTGCAGAAAGAGTCTTGTGAGAGAAGAGTCATGGAGGTTACAAGAGATTCTGGGCCAGTCCCTGAGTGGTGGTACAAAGAATAGTACCATAAAATCAAAGGTTGAATATCATTCTTCATGTTCCATTTGTTCATGTAGAGCCTGTGGAACTGCATGCCATAAATGGCTTAATCATTAATAGTCAGCCTGTGTAATGGGAGAGGTTGTGAATCAATTATTGTTATTTATATTGTGGACTGAGCAGACCACTGAGCAAGTTTTATCCAAGGAGCTCGATGTATGAGCAGTACAAAGTAACATGGATAAGACAAATTACACATTAAACATTAATCTGTACAGCAGAGCAATCATCAGGAGCCTAGCAAAAATAACCTTAGAAGTAATCCTTCCTAGAAGTATGGATTGTTTTTTCTTCTAATGAAGAATATGTCATCTAGCTAGAGTTAACATATCTGAAAAACATAGTATCAGCATGGTGGACAGGTTAGATCTTGTGTGTAATTCACTGAAATCGTGTTCACCTTTCAGTTGTAAGACATATCCTCAGGCCAGTCAAGGTAGAGTGTAACTAGAGTAATTCCAAATCAGTACTGTCTGTGAGGAGGAAGGGCTAAAAAGTTTTGCTGATACTTATGTTAGAAGCTGAAGTTTTGACATTAGGAACTTTATACTCTTAGGAAAGTACAAGCCCTCTCCTCCTTTGCAATTAAGGTGTTTTCAGTTTTATAGTTGGTCACTCCTGGGAGCCTGTCTGAACTTTCTGCATCAGGGAGTTAATTGAGAAGGATAAACGTGAGCAATTGCAGTTTGTCCTTTTTCTGACCCTCAGCCTGGCTCTCTTGCATACACGTGTTTTTGGGTGACTGTTCTCTGGAGGGATAGAGGGAACAGCAGCTGGTGACATCAGGTACTTCAGGATTTTGTTTCTGTTGGGAAGTGAAAATTTGATACTTTGGAAACTCTAAAGCCCTGAAGTTCAGTCAAAGATGCAGTTTCTGTGTTCTGCAAAACCAAAGATGGAGATAGTTGACCAGAGGAGAGATCACAAATGATGGTAGCAGTGCTCCTTGAGCTTTCCACCCACTCTGAGATAAAAATTTCATCTATTCACTTGGCAGTTTTGTGAAAGAGAT